TGGAGATTCCTTGGAAAACTTGGAATGGAACCACCATTTGACCCAGCTATCCCACTCCTCAGTCTATATCCATAGGACTTAAAATCAGCATACTACAGTAATGCAGCCACATCAATGTTTACAGCAGCACAATTCACAATAGCTAAACTGTGGAAACAACCTAGATGCCCTTCAATAGATAAATGGATAAAAAAACTGTGGTGTGTGTGTGTGTGTGTGTAATTATATATGTATGTGTATATATATATATATATATATATATATATATAGAGAGAGAGAGAGAGAGAGAGAGAGAGAGAGAGATAAATAGATAGATAATGGAATGTTACTTGGCATTAAAAGAGAATAAAATTATGGCATTTGCAGGTAAATGGATGGAGTTGGAGAATATCATGCAAAGCAAAGTAAGCCAATCCCAAAAAACTAAAGGCCAAATATTCTCTCTGATAAGTAGATGCTGGTCTATAATGGCGGGGGGGGGGCATGGGGAAAATGGAGGAACTGTGATTGGGCAAAGGACAGGAGGGAAAGAGAGGGAGCATGGGCGCAGAAAAGATGGTGGAATGAGATGGAAATCATTACCCTAGGTACATATATGACTACACATACAGTGCAACACTACATTGTGTACAACCAGAGAAATGAAAAGTTGTGTGGAAATTGTGTACAATTAAAATATGTGTGTATATATATATATATATATATATATATATATATATATATATATATATATATGCAGCTGAGCATGGTGGCACATGCCTGTAACCCCAGTGGCCTGGGAGGCTGAGGCAGGAGAATTGCATGTTCAAAGCCAGACTCAGCAAAAGCGAGGCGTTAAGCAACTCAGTGAGACCCTGTCTCTAAATAAAATACAAAATAGGTTGGGAATGTGGCTCAGTGGCCGAATGCCCCTGAGTTCAATCCCTGGTACCTGTCCCTGTAGAAAAAAAAAAAAAAGTGAATGAGCACAAACATCTCTCTTGAATAGAAAGAACTTTTCTTTTTGTTCCAGAGGACTGACACACCATTTATTTGCTGAATGCCTACTCGGTACAAGGCACTTTAGTATTTATCAGGACACAAAACAAAATTCTTTCCTTCATGGAGCTTAATCTACAAGGGAAAAATAAAAATGAAAACATAAGTCAATTGGCTAATGTGTTTAAAATTTTTTTTAAAAAGCCAATTGCCTAATTTATCAATAGATTAAGTACTAAGAGAAAAGACTAAATAGAGCAGTATAAGAGGGACTGAAAGGAGTGTAGTGGTTCCAAAAATATGTCCATAATTTTTTGATATTCTCTTTAAGAGGAGGAGCTTAATTATTTCCTTGAGTGGAGGCCAGACTTAGTGACTCACTTCTAACAAAGAGAATATGGCAAAAGCAATATTATATCACTTCCAAGATTAGGTTACAAAAAGACTGTTTTTCTTTTTTGGTACATTCTCTCTCTCTCTGGGATCACTTGCTCTGAACTAACTGGCAGGCTGTCAGCAGTCCTATGGAGAAGTTCCTGTGACAAGTAACTAAAGCCTCCAGATGATAATCAGCAAGGAATACAGGCCTGCCCACAACAATGTGAGTAAACCTGAAAGTAATTTTCCTGCTCTAGTTCAGCCTTAAGATGGCTATAAACCTGTGAAAGATCCTAAACTAGAACTACTCAGCTAAACTGCTCCTAGATTCCTGATGCTCAGAAACTATGTGAGATAAAACCTGCTTGTTGTTTTAAGCTATTAAATATCAGGGTGACTGTTAACTAGCAATAGATAAGTAATATAGTAAGGGCATGAAGGGGTCAGTTTCAGTATTAAGTAGGTGGCCCAGACCTCATTGAGAAGGTGACATTTGAACTAAGACCTAAGGAAGGTGAGGAAGGCATTTCTGAGAAACACCAAGGAGGCCAGTGTGACTGCAGTTGAGTACTGGAAGTAGTGGTTGGAGAATGAGGTTGCGTAGTAGGATGGTCAGTGATACAGAAACTTAAAAGACACATGCTTGTATTCCAGATTAAAGAGAATCTGCATGTTTTGAGCAGAAAAAATACTGTGATATTCCAAAAATATTTGCACTGGATTATAAAGAATATGCTATATATTTAAATTATTTGTATATAATTCAAATTCTTTTGTAGTTCAATTTAACAGTGTAATGGATAAGAGGGCAAAATATAGCTAGAAGAATGGATATAAATAATTCTGATCATATTTACTAAAATGGATACAACCAAATTTAATTCATATCACATCACATAACTCAGTCAAAGAATTGTGAAAGAAAAAAGCATAAGTTTATAAAAGGTTCCTTAATTGTTTACAATATACAACCTGGGGGAAAATATTATCTTTTTTCTTTTAGAGTCCTTTCTTTATGTGCACATGAAACAAGTCAGTGTGGTTTATTAAAATGGAGTCAAAGCATGACTGATAGATTTTCTCAATACTTATGAGGAAAATAAATTTATTTAATTTTATAACTCTCTATCAACACAATAAACATCTATAACAGGGAAGCTTAATCTTACCTGATATAAGACATCTTTGATGTTTAGGAACATGTCTTTCAAGGAGACGCTTCATACAAGAATCTTTGGCTTCTTCTAAAGCACACTTTCCTTCGGTACTTCTAAATAATGGATCAGCTCCATTTAAAAGAAGTAATTCTGCCACCTAGAAGAAGATTGTTCATGTGAGAAAGCCCAGACAAAGCATATATTATTGTAAATGTGTGCTAGCATACAACCCTAAGCAACACCAAATGTTTCTCTCAACAGCAGAGTATAGGATTATCTATCAGATCTTTGCCCAAGAAAAACAAAAAATATAATGCAGTTTCTACAGAATCATAATTTGCTGGTATACAAATTCATTTTCTCACCAAAGAAGACTGAAAGACAGAAAGAAAGGAGGGAGGCACAAGTGAGGGAGGGAGAAAGAGGGAAATGAGAAAAGTAGGAAGGACAGAGAGTGAGGGAGGAAGGAAGTTGGGGCAGAAATATTGTGATTCAACTGCTGGTTAAATGAAGCTAGTAAGTACACAAAGACTTAGAATTGGGTTCTACAGTGGCAATATAATTTTAAGAGGTTCCAAGAGACAGTCATGTCTTTCTTCTATACCTGTGTATACTTACAGATGGCACTGCCTGTGAGGTAGAAACAGGCCAATTCTTACTCTGTAACCAGTTTTGTAGTAACCTACTCAATGCACCTCTCCCTTTCTGCCCCCACCCACTACTTCTCATGTACATATTTTATCACAGTGCCCAATATATTCTGTATTATACTTATTTCATATATGTGTATGTTTCCTATTGTACTCAAGTTTCTTGAGGGTGAGATTATGTTTTTTTCCTATTAAATTAATTACATCTGAATAGGAAATTGATGAATACAGTTTTTTAAAAAAGAAAGTTCAGAAGAATATGGAATTAAAAGTTTCCTTCTTCTACCCCTGTCTCCCAGTCATCTTATATATTTTTTTCCCCTGAGTCAGTCCTGATTACAGTTTCCTCTGAATTTTTCCAGAATTAGTCTAGTCCAACAGGTATGAAAGTATGTATACATCATATGTATATAGAGAGATTTTTCTTACACAAGGGGCAACTTGTTAAATACACTCTGTATATTGCCTTCTTTTCCCCACCCTCCCAAAAGCGTCCTTGGAGATTGTTCCCTCTTGGTATAGACTGTACTTCCTCATTCTTTGTAGCAGCTGAGTAACATAGTCTATTATATGAATGTACTATAATTTATTTAACTAGTACCCAATTCATGAATGTTCAGTTGCTTCAAAGTTTTTGCTACACATACAATAACTTAATTGTCTTTGTAAACCCAATGCCTTTCTTGGTATCTGGCATAGAGTAAGTGCTCAAAAGTATTGTTTAACAAAAGAATAAGAGAGGACTGGGGGTGCTGGGGTTGTATCTCAGTGGTAGAGTGCTTGCCTAGCATGTGTGAGACACTGGGTTCAATCCTCAGCACCACATAAAAATAAGTACATAAAATAAAGGTATTGTGTCCATCTACAACTAATTTATATATATACGTGTGTGTGTGTGTGTGTGTGTGTGTGTGTGTGTGTATATATATATATGTATGTATGTAATGGGAATGTGGGTCAGTGGTAGAACACTTGCCTAGCATGTATAAGGCCCTGGGTTTAATCCCCAGGAACAC